AATTTTACTTCTCTACTGTGTTTGGTGCCAGGGTTGTGTCACCTTAGTGCTGGCAGCTTATCATTATTATTTGTATATTTTAATAGCGCAGGAGTAATATTTATACACATTTAATAGGTAGTCTGAGTGGTCAATAAAGAGTCCTTGATTCGCCAATGAAAAGGGCGCCGTTCTGACCCAGAGAGAGGAAGGAGGAGTACCAAGGGATCATGGTCTGACCAGGGTGAGGAGCGAATAGTTATCCGCCGGACCAAGGGAAGCTGCTGAACCTGCATGAATATATGGTCAATTCTACAAAAACTGTCATGAGGATTGGAATAGAATGTAAAGTCACGTTCAGTTGGGTGAAGTTTCCTCCAGACATCCGCTAGCCCCGCCGTCCGCAGGAGAGAGCGCATAGGTTCCTCCAGCACCAAGTCATGAGAAGGGGCCGCCCTCCGTGCGTAGCGCCTATCCAATGTGGAATCCAAGGTAACATTTGAATCTCCAAAAACAGGAAGAAGAAGACCCTTGGAGTGTCGGGAAACAATGGTGCAAAGATGCAAAAAGAATTTATGCTGAAAACGATTAGGCGCGTAGTAAGAGACAAAAGTATCTTCCTGGTCCCAGAGGGTGCCTTGCAGAAGCAAATACCTGCCCGTGGGGTCCGCTATTTTCCAAGCACAGACAAAAGGGAGATTGCGTTTGAAAGCTATTAGTACACCCCGACGCTTCTCAGGAGCCGAGGTCGTGTAAAAGGTGGGATAGTGAGGTGAAAGATAATGTGGAGCGGAGGACTGAGAAAACCTGAACTTTTGTAAACATACCACGTCAATTTGTTGCTATTTGAGGTGATGAAAAACTTTAGCCCACTTCTGAGGCGAATTGAAGCCTTGAACATTTTGTGAATGTTTTTTCAAAAGGGGAGAGGCCATGGCGGCACCAGCGCAACACGCTCAGCAAAAAAAGCATAAAGCAGCCAACAATTTCCACTCCGAATGGCGATTGGACTGTGGCATCCCGGAACCCTGCATAAAACAAAAACAAAAAAAACTGAGGAGAAAAAAAAATAATGAAAGAAAAAAAGAAAATGACACAAGAAGCATATACAAAAGTGCAATCATGTCACGCCAATGGTGACGTGCATCCTACACTTGAAGGATACCAGTTGGGGGTGGCTCTACCACTGGACACATGGCTGCAAATGGAAACATCAAAAACATAAGCCCTCAGGGGGCAAAAAGGCAATAAGGCAATGAACATAGTAGAACGGGGTACCAAATAATAACACTGAGTCCCAGGAGCAAGAACCTCCATGACGACCTCCCCATAGAATCCCGGAGAACCATGGGGGCCAACCCCCTCCCACCCAACCGGGCCTACCGGGTCAACCTCCCACCCCGGAGCCCGAGGGAACCATCACCCTATGCCACCAATGGAGACCTGAATAACATCACCCAGACCCAAAATAGGCTGCAACAGCAGAAAGTCATAATCCTTAAGTCCAGGAGGAGACCTTCCCCCCCCCCCCAACCAGGGATGGAACCCAAGGAAGCAAGCCGGATCAGTCGCAACCTGGAATGCTAACAAACCGGGAAAGCCCTAAGGGCCAAACTCACAGTCCCGTTAGAGAAGTCCATCGCTGAAACAATACGTGGGAGGTCCAAGATGCATCTTCAGCCCGGAGAAGAACAGGAAAGACTTGATCGTGGAGGGATCTGAGGAAGGGCCCTCTTCCTGTTGGACGACTGCTCCCAGAAGTAGCCCGGAGGAAGCGTCCTTGCGGATCCAGATGAATGAGCTGGGCTCTGATCAGCAGCTTCCGGCGAAAGAAGCTGTAAAGATTCCAGGAGAGAATGGGCTTCCTCCGGCGTAGCAACAGAGTGACTGCGGCCCTGGTAGTTGAAGGTGAGGCGGAACGGAAAGCCCCAGGTGTATTTAATACTGTGTTTCACCACTTCTGAAGAGTGGTCTGGGAGAGGTCTGCGAAGAGCTGGTAGCGATGCCCCTGGAAGCTGAGATCAGGGTTGTTTCTGGCCGCCAAGAGGATAGTTTCCTTAGTGCAGTAATAAGTAAACTTGATGATAATGTCCCTCGGGGGCCCATCCGGTCATCTGGGGCCCAATGCATGATGTATACGGTCAAATTCGAGCCGGTCAATGGGAATAGCAGGCGTCAGGTCCTGAAACAGAGCAGTAGCGGTGGAAGTGAGATCTGTGACCGTTTCCGGGATACTCCTTAACTTCCAATTGCCACGTCGGGAACGGTTTTCAAAATCCTCAAGCCGTAGCAGCGCGTCCGCCAATTCTTTCTTGAGGTCGCACAAATCCTTTTCTTGATTTTCAATGACCGTGGCCGCAGCGTCCATTTTATCTTCGAGATCGTTTGTCCGGTTGCCCAACTCCCGAATTTCTCGCGAAAGACGGTCGGCCAGCTTGGAGGTAGCGGAGGATATTTCCGACTGCAGCATGAATTTGAAGCGGTGCAGGACCTCAGCATCCCGCAAGGATGGAATTGGAGACTGCGGGGATGTCTCTGATGCCAGGTCTTCCATACCGCTACGATCCGGCCCACCCTTAGGTAGCGGCGGCGGGGGACCAGAAATCGAGGCCGGGGCTTCACTTGCGGCCTCCGGGGTCCTGGAAGCCTCTGGCCCACCGGGAGCTGGAGGTGCCGGCGGCCGGTGTTTTTTTTGCCCATCGGGGTACTGGGAGGACAAGGGGCCAGAGAGAAAGCAGAGGGACCCCCCCTGAGGGTCAGAAATCGGCCGATGTGTCGGCGCCGAGGAAAAGATTCAAAAGGCAGCCATCCTGGCTGCTGCTCACGAGCGCCCCCCTTGAAATAATTTTTAGGTCATAGAGAACCAATGCTAAAAACAGTTTTTTTTTTTTTTAAATCCACAGTTTTATGGTACATTAGAATCATTAGCAAGACATGCAAAGTTTTAAATAATAGTATAAAGAATTGTGTATTTCAACATTCCCCCCCTACTCTATACAACAACATTATTTTCAGATACAATCCTGAAATAAAGCAAATAACATTAATCGCCAGAAAAGAAATGTAGACAGTTAAAATTGTTGTGTCCCTTGGTGGTCTGTGAAGAAATACCCATTAAGTTACTGGCCAGTGGAGATGGACATTTTTAGAAAGGCCCTTTTACATTTGTAGTCTGTGGAGAAGGTGCCTCCTATCTTTTGGATCCGTGAACGAGGGCTTTCTTACATTTGTGGTCCATAGAGAAGGGTATCCTTACACTGGTGGTTAGTTGAGAAGGGCCCAATTATATTTGTAGTTCAGTGGAGGTACCTTTTGTGGTCCATGGAGAAGGGCCCTCAGACACTTGTAATCTATGGAGATAAGCTGTCTTACATTTGTAGTTCATAGAGAACGGCTCCCTTTCATTTGTGTCCAGTGGAGTAGGACCTGTTTTCATGTTTAGTCCATGAAGAACGGTTCCCTTACTTTTTGTAGGTCCATGGAGATGGGCCCCTTGATATTTGTGGTTTAGGGGGGAGGGCCCCCTTACAGTTGTAGTCCATGGAGAAGTTCCCTCTTATGTTTGTGGTCCGTAGAGAAGCGCTCTCATACATTTGTAGATCATGTAGAAAGGCCCCTTTACATTAGTGGTCACTGGAGAAGTCCTCCCTTACATTGGTGGTAACTGAAAAGGTGACCCTTTGATATTCGTGGTGAGCTCAGAAGTGACCCCTTAAGTGGTGCTGAATGGAGAAGTGACCCCTTATGTTTGTGGTCAGTGTAAGTGGAAGATCAGCCTGCCCTGCTCAAAATGTGTGTAACGGCAATCTTCATTAAAGTATATAGATGGAATCACAGAGAAAACATAAACTACAAAGTAGTAATTACAAGCATAATTAGTGAAAAGATTTATTTTTTTTTCCCCACAAAATAATGCGTAACAGGACATAATAGACATAAGGAGAAAGAGAAAATATCTATGATTGGACATAGACTTGAAATTACGAATACACAGACCAAGGCACATATCAAAAAAGGCTAAAGAGATCCCAAAAGTCATAGTTTGTTAACAACTGCTACAAGGGAAGAGCATGGGTATCAGGTACACAATATTCATATAAATTAGAAATTTGAGAAAGAAGTTCACAAAGCAAACCAAATTGGTCTTTGAGATATTCAGAGGGAAGATTACTCAGGTGTGGTGCAATCACATGCACGTTGTGGTAGATTGTAGCCAAGGATCCCAAACCTTGTTGAATTTGTGTGGGCATTCCCTGTGGATGTATAGAAATTTCTTCTAGGGCAAAGTATTGTTTATTTCATGGATCCAAGCTGTCAACTTGGGGGTACAGGCCTCATTCACTGTCTTGCTATCAGTTTTCTAGCTGTAAATAAAGTTCCATGTAAGAAGATTTTGGTGACTTTGTCCAGGCCTGGGTTAGGAAACAGACCTTATAAACATTGTTTAGGATGCAATGTTAATGTGGAACCCATGGTGACATGGAGGAATTTAACAACCTGTGTCCAGAATCCCTGTAAAATAGTAGATGTTAAAAGATACCATAACTAAAGCTACACATAGGACAAATAGTATTGTGGGCACTCTTGTAGCAGGCTAGTCTAAGGGAAGTAGGATAGGAGCGATGCATAGTATATAGTTGAGTGAGGCAATCCAACAACCTAGGTGACACCGCTCTACAAGTGTCCAATACCTTGCTCCAGTCTTCATCATCCGTCTCTCCCACATCAGCTTCCCAATGCGACTTAAGCCCGTAGGCCAATTTAGACACAGGGGGCAGGAGTAACATACTATAAAATGTAGAGATCAAGTTTTGAGATTCCTCTCTTTAATCCCTAAGGGGATTGGACACTGGCTGTATGAAAGACATTTGTTTTTTATTGAATTCTGAGATTTAGAACTAATACAGTGTATAATTTCCCATGTTAACGTTGTATGTAATGCTTGATATAGCTGTGTTGTTAAACCCAGCATTCCCAGAACCTCACCAGATAATGGAATGTCCATATGTGTGTTTCCATAGGTGCAGAGAAACTGCTGTCTCACGCTGTGTAACTTTGGCATCCCAGAAGAGCTAGAATTCCAGTATCATCGGGTGAATGAACTTCTTCTAAACATTCTGATCCCAACTCGTCAGGATGAATCCATCCAACGCATTGCCGTGCACCTGTGTAACGCTCTGGTCTGCCAGGTGGATAATGACCACAAGGAGGCAGTGGGGAAGATGGGCTTTGTCATGGTAAGATTCGATTGCCTTCATTTGTTTCATAGTGGTCATCCATTCACCCTTGTTATCCAGTAGTGGGAAAATGTTGTGCATACAGTACATGACTATATATATATATATATATATATATATATATATATATATATATATATATAGATAGATAGATAGATAGATATATAGATATACAGGCATACCTCGGTTTACGAATTTAATTTGTTCTGTGGGACTTTTCGTATAGGGAAAAATTTGTAAACCGAAATGCCGTTTCCCATAGGAATGCATTGAAAACCACTTAATCTGCTCCAGAGGTCAGAAAAAAGTAAACACTACTAAAATACCGCATGAGTTATTTTATCTAGTCATGCGGTATTTTAGTAGTGACAATCATGTGTTAATATTTCAGCTGTTAGCAGGGTTCCCCATTGACAGCTGAATGTAAAAGAAAGAATTGCCAGCAATTAAAAAAATATTTTAAAAAATGGCGTGGGGTCCCCCCTCCCATCCATACCAAGCCCTTCGGGTCTAGTATGGATTTTGAAGGGAAATCACGCCAAAATTAAAAAATAAAAGGCGTGGGTTCCCCCCAAAATCCATACAGACCCCTATCCGAGCATGCAGCCCAGCAGGTCAGGAAAGGGGGGGAGGATGAGCGAGCCCCCCCTCCTGAACTATACCAGGCCACATGCCCTCAACATGGGGTTGTGCTTTGGGGCAGGGAACCTTGACTGTGTTGATGGGGACAAGGGCCTCTTCCCCACAACCCTGGCCGGTGGTTGTGGGGGTCTGTGGGCAGGGAACTTATCGGACTCTGGAAGCCCCCAGATCCTGGCAGAGCCCCTCCCGGGCACAGTCGGCGGCGAACATCGTGATTGACTTTGGATCTACTGCGGGGGGCATTCTTTTACTTTTTTCTTTTAATGAAGGACTTGTCAAAGACCGTGTCCTGTCTTTTTTTTCGCACTACACTTTTTGTTTTTTGTGAATGAGTAGCGGGACCATGTACCCCATACTCATTCACATGGGGGGGGCCGGGATCTGGGGGGCCCCTTGTTAGAGGTGGCTTCCAGATTCCGATAAGCCCCCTGCCAGCAGACCCCCACAACCACTGGCCAGGGGTGTGGGGAAGAGGCCCTTGCCCCCCCTGCCCCACAGCACCCCCCCATGTTGAGGTCATGTGGCCTGGTATGGTTCAGGAGGTGGAGCGCTCACTCGTCCCCCCGTCCCCCCCCCTTACTTTCTTGACCTGCCGGGCTGCATGCTTGGATAAGGGTCTGATATGGAGCTTGGGGGAGGGGGTGACCCCCCATGCCATTTTTTTTTTAAATTTTGGTGTGGGGGGTTCCCCTCAAAACCCATACCAGACCTGAAGGGCTTGGTATGAATGGATGGGGGACCCCACGACGTTGTTTTATTTATCATGGTGCCAGTTTTTAAATGTAATTACCACTTTTTTTTTTTTCTTCACTATAGCTCAGAGATTCAGCTGTCACTTTCCCCCCTGCTAAAAGAAAGAATGTTTCCTTTTAGTTTATTTCCCTGAGTTAAAAGAAACAATGTTTCCTTTTACTTTCTTAAAAGAAACAAAGTTTCCTTTAAATCTGGGGAAAGTGACAGCTAATTCTGTGAGCTATAGTGAAGAAGAAAAAAAAAAGCTGGCAATTGCATTTAAAAATGTCGACATACACTTCGTATTGCGAAACAAATTCGTAAACCAAGGTATTATTTTCAATGGATTTTCATTTGTAAACCGAAAATTGCGTTAACCAAGGCGTTCTTAAACAGAGGTACACTAATATATAATATTTAGCTGATTTGTTTTAGTATTTTTATTAGATATGCATATAAAAGAGATCAGCTTGATTTAAATATCCTTGCCATTTGAAAACCTACTTTCTGTGTATAGTTTTAATTTTCGATGCACATATTTACTTGTTACAGATTTTGTTCCTGCTTTGCTGCATAATGGTCGTGCTTTAATGCTTCTCACTATAAAAGTCTGAGCCGGCCAGTTCATAAAGAGAAAATGTATAGTGTAGACCAGGGGCGGACTGACAACTCATGGGGCCCCTGTGTCCTCGCCAACACCCAAAAAAGCCTATGAAAAAGCCAATGAAAGGTACCAGGGGCATCTCATAAGGCCCCTTACTGGCCCTGGGCCCTCGGGCAGTGCGCGAGTGCTCGAATGATCAGTCCACCCCTAGTGTAGACACCAACAAGCACTACAGACCTTGCAGGATCCTCTGAAACAATGCCTTTATGGCAGAATCTTAGACCATTCTGACAACCTAGGCTCCCACACGTGTAGGTCACATGAAAGCTTTCCACAACCTCTTGCTCCCCACACATTCCTATTGGGCCTACATGTCTTGGGCTGCCTCAGCGGCCAAGAAGAAGTTGCAATAGACAGGAATGGATAGGCAATTTTTTTGTACTATTTGGACAGTTCCAAGGCTTGGCCTGTCAGAACGTCCTGGTATTTAGCTGTAATAGCGGGGTTTTAGAGGTGGAGGCAAAAATGTTGAAGGGACTCATTTATCACAGCAGATATAGCTATTTCTTCATCGTTATTAACCGCCATACATCGCATTCCATCACAATCATAAAAATCAGGCAACAGTGTGTAGTCCAATAGAGATCTCTCTGTGCAATGGAGCAGAGAGAATTCCGTGATTGGAGGAGAGTCAGTCATGTGATTTTTGACTTGGACTTGGACAATGCTGTTTGACCATACCATTGCTTTTTAAATGACCCCCTAAGACTACAGCTACAGACAGATTAGGTGGATTAAGGCAGTATTTTGTTCTGGATACATAGGGGCGTCCTTGAATAAGTTAGATAGATCAGAATGAAACAAGAAAGTGGTGAGTGATAATGGAAAATATTTCAATATTACTGATTCAGGTGATGCTAAACAGTATCCTTCTTCTCCAAAAAAAAAAGTTGAGATACAACCACTACTTAAAGGCCCTGTAATCTATTTTTTCATTAAATAGTTTGTTATTCTGCTTCCTTGTAAAGTCCTCCTTGAGCTCCTGAACCTCTTCTTTTCCCTTTTGCATAAGCAGTGCACATTAGTTGCAGCCATGTGCACTGTGTACACTACATATCCCATAATCAACCTAGTCCATCTGGGGTTGAGTAAGAGAGGGTGACTATGTCCCTGCATACATGTGAGCATGGAAAAAGAGTGTAGCCACCCTCCAACAGGAAGTCAGATCACCGCAGCAGAAAAAAAAAAAATTTGGAGGAGGTTGAGCACAATATAATGAACTTTTTTGCGTTAAAGTGGAACTCACTGCTTCAATCTGCATTGACTATTTTGAATTCTTATACTACTAGCATTAGTAAATAGATAGAAAAGTATATTATATTTACTTGTTTAAAACAGTTTTTACATTTCTTCAGTTACTTCCTGGTTTGCATGCCTAGGCAAATGATGTCATATATCCCAGGAGTCTTCAGGGGGGAGGAGGAGTTTTCTCAGCTAAGCACACCCTCCTTTTTGTATGCCTGAGCTAAGGGCAGATGGATTCCAGAAAGTAATTGCTACATGAATCATCTGCCCTTGCTCAAGTGATTTCTCAGCAAAATAAAGCATGGAGACTTAGATGGATGGGTGGGTTTGCTTTTAATAATAATAATAATAATAATAATAATAATAATATATGTAATATTTAGTAGAAAGTCCTTTATAGGAAGTGAGCTTATTTCTTGTGTCTGACAAGTTCATGTTTTTGTCTCTACAGACTATGCTGAAGTTGATTCAGAAGAAGCTGCAAGACAAAACTGTGAGTGCCCATTTTGTGCATTAAATGATTGATTGTTTTTTTTCCTCCTTTTAATACAAAAAAATTTAGATTTGACAATTGAAAAGTAGAATGAGAAAATCAATATATTTGTAAATAGTGTTCATTGCTTGCTTGTCTTGTTCCATTGTGCCCTATGGCTGCTGTTAGTAAAGGGTACCTTACTTACTGTAGCATTCACAGAATGGACACAGAGTTCCTATAGGCCTCCTTTTTTTCTTTTTTTTTAAATTTATTTATTTTAGTACAACTTCAGTGATTTTGGGATAACATTACCTGAAAGGAGACGAAGTTACTGTTGTGCCACTGAGTTTTTTCACAGATTTGTAGCACAGCTACATTGGGTCTGGGATAGCAAATAGCATCAGTGGAATACGGTAAGGTCCTATTGCCAAACTGATTTTGTTTTCTCTGATTTAACACACCTTCAGTGATTCTAGGATAGCATTTGTGGAACAGAGGCAGGGTTACTGTTAGCCAGCTTATACAGTTGTGTTCAAAATAATAGCAGTGTGTTGAAAAAAGTGAACACGACACATTCTATTCCAAATCAAAACATGAAGAAAAATAGATCAAATTTGTGTTGTTCCTCTAAAAAAATTGAAGAAAAGTGAATATTAGACTGTTCAAAAAAATAGCAGTGTTTGTATTCTTCTTTACAAACTCAAACATTCACTATATAAACTGAAAAATGTTTGAAGATTTTGCTTTCCTTTGAATCACTTAATGAATATTTAGTTGTAGTCGCACTGTTTCTGAGAAACTGCTGTACATCTGTGTTGCATGGAGTCAACCAACTTCTGGCACCTGTGATCAGGTATTCCAGCCCAGGATGATTGGACTACATTCCACAGTTCTTCTCTATTTCTTGGTTTTGCCTCAGAAACGGCATTTTTGATGTCACCCCACAAGTTTTCTATTGGATGAAGATCCGGGGATTGGGCTGGCCACTCCATAACGTCAATCTTGTTGGTCTGGAACCAAGATGTTGCACGTTTACTGGTGTGTTTGGGGTCGTTGTCTTGTTGGAGCACCCATTTCAAGGGCATTTCCTCTTCAGCATAAGGCAGCATGACCTCTTCAAGTATTCTGATGTATTCAAACTGATCCATGATCCCTGGTATGCGATAAATAGGCCCAACACCGTAGTATGAGAAACATCCCCATATCATGATGCTTGCACCACCATGCTTCACTGTCTTCACAGTGTACTGTGGCTTGAATTCAGTGTTTGGGGGTCGTCTGACAAACTGTCTCCGCCCACTAGACCCCAAAAAGAACAATCTTACTTTCATCAGTCCACAAAATGTTGTGCCATTTCACTTTAGGTCAGTCATTGTGCTCTTTGGCAAATTGTAACCTCTTCAGCACATGTCTTTTTTTCAACAGTTGGACTTTGCGGGGGCTTCTTGCAGATAGCTTGGCTTCACATAGGCGTCTTCTAATTGTAACAGTACTCACAGGGAACTTTACACCTTCTTTGATCTTCCTGGAGCTGATTGTTGGCTGAGTCCGCGCCATTTTGGCTATTCTTCTATCCATTTGAATGATAGTTTTTTGCTTTCCTCTACGTCAGGTTTTGGTTGCCATTTTAAAGCATTTGCGATCATTTTAGCTGAGCAGCCGATCATTTTCTGCACTTCTTTATATGTTTCCCCTCTCCAATCAACTTTTTAATCAAGGTACGCTGTTCTTCTGAACAATGTCTGGAACAATCCATTTTCCTCAGAATTTCAGAGAGAAATGCACTGTAACCAGCATGTACAACATTTGCTGCCTTCCTTCCTTAAATAAGGGCAATAATTGCCACCTGTTTTTCAAAGAATGAATGACCTCACTAATAGAACTCCACACTGCTATTATTTTGAACACGCCCCTTTCAATGAGTGATTCAATGACACAGAATCAGCAGCATGCATGTCATGACTGTTGGGTCTGTTGGATTTCTATTACTCTACTACACCTGCTAGTAAATTATTTGCCATGTAGAAATATCATTTCTACCAAAAAGAGTGATCATGTTAGTGATGTCTGACTGCTATTATTTTGAACACAACTGTACATCATCTTCCCTCACCTTGCCCAACAGTGTGACCAAGTGATGGAATTTTCCTGGAGTGCGCTGTGGAACATCACCGATGAGACTCCAGATAACTGCGAGATGTTCCTCAACTACAGTGGCATGAAGCTGTTTCTAGACTGCCTGAGGGTAAGTCTGTCTTTTGGATTATTCCTGGCTTCATTTGTGTATTTTTAGGCTAGCCTTGAAATGTACAAATATCATCTACAGGAATTTCCAGAGAAGCAGGAACTTCATCGCAACATGTTGGGGCTTCTGGGAAATGTGGCAGAGGTGCGCGAACTGCGACCACAGCTGATGACATCACAGTTTATTACCGTTTTCAGGTGATTGTTAGGCCTTATATAGTTTTCAGTATAAATATTAAAAAATTGTTTGAAAGAGAGGTGTCCATGTAGCACCTAGCAACTCCAAAAAAAATGAGGTACCATTTTTCTTGCTATACCATCCAGCCATACCTGTGCATAGGGTTTGTGGTAAGCTATATGTGTCATTTCTCATGTCGCAATCTCTAGATAACTGTAAACATTCTGTTTAAAAATCAAATTCGTTACCTTCATCCCTTCTTTCTTCATTGTTTGGAATATTTTTTTCTATTAGTGGTTTCAGCCCGTAGAGAAAAAAATAATAGTTCAGCCAATTGAGAAATAAAGGATGATGTCATTGAATGTGGACACACTGTGGGCAAAGATCGATCTTACCTTCTAAAACCTGTTTTCCAGTCTGAGTTTTCATAGCTGCTCTCAAGGAATTGCTAGAGAACTGTAGCATGAGAGATGGGGCAATAAAGAGTTTACAATTAGATTGGATACTGTTAGATTGCATAGCAAGAAAGTCACTTTATATCCTATAGCCTCAAAGTATATGTAAGGCAGAGGTGCTAAAGGGGTAAGAAACACTCTAATACATATTATCTAATAACATTATGCTTTTAAGAGACTCCATACATGCAACTGTTGTGTTCCCTTTACAGTATGTGAAAATCAGGCTCATTTGTAAGCGTTTCTCCTCGGGAGCTCCTCATGTGTGGATAGAATATGGCTCAAAGCCACAGTGATGCTGGGTGAACTTTTACATCTAGTGTATATATACCAAGCTTTAACCACTTCAAGTCCGGACACTTTTACCCCCTTCCTGTCCAGGCCAGTTTTCAGCTTTCAGTGCTATTAAACTTTGAATGACAATTGCGCGGTCATGCAACACTGTACCCATGTGATTTTTTTTTTAGCAATTTTTGAGACCGATAAAACTATTTTGGTGGTATTTATACACCACTGGGATTTTTATTTTTTTGCTATATAAATGAAAAAGTCCAAACATTTTGAAAAAAGAAGTATTTTTCTTATACAATTTTGCAAATAAATAATCTTTCTTCATAAATCTTGGCCAAAATGTATTTAGCTATCTTTTTATAACCAAAAATTATAATTTTTCAAAATATTTTTTTTTACAATTTTTTTTTATTATTTATTTTTTATTTTTATTTTTTTAACATACCATCACCCTAGCAGTATAGTGTTACCATGGTGACACTATACTACTTGTGGGGGGTGATGAAGATTTTTTTTTTTCTTTTTTTACACTGATTGCTTTTACACTCATAAAGGCTGTAAAAACAATCATTTCTCCTTCTCTCTAGCTGCATTCTTGCAGTCATTGAGAAATACTGTGAGAGCTGTGATTGGTCACAGCTTGTCACATGGTACAAGGCTGTTTTGAATAGCCCTGTACCATGTGACCTCTGTGATCATTCACAAATTTCACAAGTAGTAAGCAATGATGTCAGGAAGTGACATCTTGTTTACTACTGTTCATGTGATCACTGATTGGCCAATCAGTGATCACATGAATCGGACCTCACACCTCCGGACATAGCGGGCATCGGATCGCGGTCCCGTGTGGTCCTAGGGAGCTCGCACAGGCAGTGAAGGCGGGGGCCGTTTATAAACGGCGACCCGCTTTTGCACTCCTACCGTCCAGCCGTTTATGTACATGGACCGGACAGGAAGTGGGTAAACACGTTTTGTATGAGATTCCTGGTTGCAGTGTGCAAGGTATATTTGCATGTTGATCGCTAAAGAACATTGGTGTTTTGAAATGGTCACATGCATCTTAATTCTTCATACCCTTTAACCACTTGCCTACCGGGCACTTATACCCCCTTCCTGCTGAGGCCAATTTACCTTTCAGCGCTCTCACACTTTGAATGACAATTGCGCGGTCATGCAACACTGTACCCATATGAAATTTTTATAATTTTTTTCACACAAATAGAGCTCTTTTTTGGAGGTATTTAATCGCCACTCGGTTTTTTATTTTTTGCGCTGTAAACAAAAAAAAGCAAAAAAAAAAGTTTTTGTTTGTTTCCATTATAAAATTTTGCAAACACGTAATTTTTCTCCTTCACTGATGTGTGTTGATGAGGCTGCACTGATAGGCGGCACTGATGATGCTGCACTGATATGCAGCAATGATTGGCACTGATAGGTGGCACTAATGATGCTGCACTGATATGCAGCAATGATTGGCACTGATGGGTGGCACTGACTGGCGGCACTGCTGGGTACTGACTGACTGGTGGCACTGGCACTGGATGGCACTGGTGGGTGGCACTGATGGGCACAGGTGGGTGGCAGTGCTTGGCACTGGTGGGTGGCACTGCTAGGCACAGGTGGGTGGCACTGGTGGGTGGCACTGCTGGGCACTGATCATCAGCGCCCTAATGATCAGTGGCGATCTGTTTTCTGACATTTGCCGGTAATCAGCAGTGCTTTCCTTACGCTGTGACAACGTGAGGAAAGTGCAGCCGGCAACCGGCAACTGCATTTACCCGGTGATCTGCTGTGTCATTGGACACAGCTGATTGCGTAGTAAAAGGCCGCTGTGATTGGCCTTTTACCACATCCTTAGGACACAGCGATCACGGAGATCGCTGGGTGTGTGCCGCTGGGGGCGCGCGTTCTGGGAGGACGTCATATGACGCCCTCCCAGAACTGGACAATCACGCTGTAGCCATCATTTGGCTATAGCCCAGTTGTCAAGTAATTAATATATATATAAAAAAGATTTTAAAACATATCTCAAAAGCAAAAACGTAATGTTTTCCAGTTTGCCAGTTCCTCTAACGTGGTGGCTTAATTTGTTTCCTATATTTTCACCTATGATTCTGCCAGTGACACCTTTCCAGTCCTGGAATGAGAACACTCACTCACACTACTGTATAAGAACAACATAAACAAGAACGTACTACAGGACTCCTCTGCCCCTCTCCTCTTCTCCCTAAAATAGGGGGTAGGGACACTGTAGTACTTAGAGGTAACTGAAAACAATGTAACTGACAACAGCATAGACCGAGAACACAGGAATTCATCAGCACTTAGGGTTTCTGACAAGAAATAATCAAACAAAATCTAACAAAATACTTTCAGTGGTATACGATAGACCAAAAAGATCAGAGAGGTTCATTGTTCAGGTTTACATACCCTGTTTCTTGTATGTCTTGAGGACCCTGTTGGTGGGATATCTGTGTGGGTTCTTGGGCCTGTACACCTGCCCTGCTTCATCATATTATATCTTTCATTTCTTAAGCAGAAAAGGAAAGCTAAAAAGTGGTTACTGTGGGCAGCTGCCACAGTATCCAGTTCCTCCAAAATAGTTCCCAGTTCGTCTAAAACAGCCTTCGTTTGTTAAACATTATACCATTTTTACACTTGTGCCCTTGTACTTACCAGCAACCTCCTGGACAGCAAAGCAGATGGGATTGAAGTGTCGTATAATGCCTGCGGGGTGCTTTCACACATCATGTTTGACGGCCCAGAAGCCTGGTTCATTTTGGAGCCATCGCGACAAGAGGTTGAGGAACGCATGTGGAGAGCTATCCAGAGCTGGGATATTAGCTCCAGAAGAAATATTAACTACCGGTCAGAAGATACTTATACATACTCTTTTCTATGACTCCTCCTCTTTATAAACTTGAGTACTCTTCCTGCTAGATAATGGACTAGTCAAAGTCTGAAACAAAGACATAAGTGTATATTAATAAGTCAAATGTCAGTTTCTTCCACAAACTACACTTTTTTTAGTGCAGGTTTGAACCTGAGTGATATCAAACACTACAGGTAGTTTTTATTTTATGTCCTTCTGTATATTTATAAAAGGACAGCTGTAAGGAATGGAAGAGACGGGGTATAGATGGCAATATGAGACAGGGAGTTGGGATGCTGTTTTGGCCCCTCATTTACTGCAGTGAATGTGCCTTTTTTTTTTTTTTTTTTTGTGGAACTAGTTTATTCTTAGAACAGGGAGACTACTTCAAGTAAGTTTTATGGTGCAAAGTTACTGATGCCTAGAGCTAGTGTGCATAGCGTAGCCTTAAAAAGCCTCTAACCCTTAAAGTGAATCTATGGCCATTTTCTACACCGCTTTAAAACTTCCCCTCAGTGACCTCCTGTAGCTGCAGGCACTGTGGAGCAATGCAATGTTAAAATTCACAGCAGAAGCACTGAAATATTTTAAGTAGTTCTCCCAGCAATTCAGCTGACCTTGCTCTCCCCAGCCAGAAATCCTGCTGCAGGGGAAGATGAGCCGCTGATTCACTACTGCAATCTTCACCTTGTGCAATCAGAGAACACTTTGCATTCATTCAGAAAATACAAAGCTTTCTCTGAATGGCACCCGTGCCGAGCTGCCAACCTTCTGTGTTCACAAACAGCAGGGCAGCTGCTCTGTGTGGGACCTGGAAGCAAGTGGCGATCACGGGAGTAGCTTCCAGGGCGGGTCGGCCAGGTATGGCATATACATAGTTACATTAGACCAAGATAGAGACCAATACATATAGGGGTAAAAAAAAGCGTAAATGAAACCGGTGCTCTCTGTATTCTTAACAGGTCATTTGAGCCAATTCTTCGTCTTCTGCCCCAGAACGTTTCAACTGTCAGCCAACACTGGGCAACATGGGCTTTGTACAACCTTGTATCTGTATATCGTAAGTATAACTGCTCCCTTTTTCTGTCAGTACTGTGGGGATGTGTACCAGTATGTAATAGATACATAACATGCTAGTACTTCTTGGTTTGTGTGTGAATGAAATACCACTTTTCTGTTCTGAACCAATGGAGTGGTGGAGGAGTGAAGGTACAGCAAGTATTTGTTGCTTTGCCCTACATGGGCAAAGTGAAGGTCCGTTTTAAAAATGTTTATTTAAAAATGCAATAAAATTAACCCAAAACTTTTACTTTTTTTTTTTTTTTTTTTTTTAACGGGGGATAAATTATAACCTGGTATATCATGAGGAAGTGACTTACTACTTCTCCTTCCAAGTGACAGGGCTGGTGCTTGGTAAGCAGGAATAAAAGTGAGGGCTAAAAAATTAGCTGCTGTACACCGAAAGGAACCAATAACCTCCAAAAAACCAATAATAATAACAAAGGTGCAGCGCTAAAAACTCAATGAATAATGTATGATATACTAAAGTGCAAATGCTTATAATCTGAGATGTCACTCTGTCAAATGCAGTATGTCAAAATTATTATATGGCCATATTGGACATAAATGTTTTAAATCCTTGTTATTATTATAGGGCTGGTGCTTGGCCATTGGCTGCTCAGGCACCCAGCACTGTCACTTTAGGTCAGGGAAAGTCAAACATTTTTTCCTCTTTCATCTGCAGGCATACCAATTACAGAAGAAATAGACAGCTGTAGGTGCTGGCAGAAAGTGAATCTAGGTATATAAAGACTTGTGTTGACAGGTTTTGCAGTCCCATAAAAGTCTATGGAATAGCAAAGCCTATATGAAGCAGGTCAGGTGCACCTGTCAATTAATTCTGAATGATCTATTGAGTCTCAAACTGATGCTATTGACACAGGACCTAATGTTTTCCAATGTCAGGTTCACCTTAACAGTTTTAGCGTTGTGCATTTAACTGTAAATGACATGTTCCACCATATTAAAGATTATGTTGGATTTTTGCAATATTTTTTTTTTAACCCCTCTTTGCTGAAAATATTTTTCTTTACCTTCTAATTTAGCAGACAAATACTGCCCTCTTCTAATCAAAGAAGGTGGACTCCCACTGCTGGTAGATGTGGTCAACATGCCAACTACACGCCAAGAAACAAAGGATATGGCTAGGTAATATAAAGCACAACTTTTGTGTGAATGTGTGATGACAGTTGCAGCAGCAGCTTTCTGATCAATGGTGGTATTGAATCATTGTGTCTCTTCAGTTGTCCCCTTCTCCAGAACCGAAGGTAATAAGTGGGAGCAGTAAATGTTTGTGTTTTGCTACCATTTTCATTGCTGCATTCAGATCATTGTAGTTGGTCATTGCTGAGAAGTCATAAACTACCTCTGTTTACCTAACAAAGGGATCCTGCAAGGTGTTAAAGCTGAAGTTTGATTGGCTTATATTTTCCCTGATTCCTCCTTCCTCTGTTCATCAATATTTTTAAATGAAAACTTTCAGTTTTCATTTCAGATCTTATTTTAGACTTGGTGACATCATCACTAGGTCTTCATTCTTCTCTATGCAATACAGACAAATCATGGCTGGTGGAAGGAATTGGCAGCATGCTGTGTACATAGCTGCTGTACATAGCGTCTTAGAAACATCACAGCCCCTGCCTTGGTACTCCTCTCAGGTGTATATAGGAAATACCTTTTCTGCATCACCCACAGGTAAGCGCGGAAAAGGTTCTTTGATAACCAAATTACACTTTTTTGTGTGTGTGTGTCCAGCCAGCTTTGCCAACAGCCACGAATAGCTGCGGGCGCTGACAAGCTTCGTGGCTGCTGGTTTTCAGATGTATTTTACTTGTGGCTAGAGCTTCTATTTCCTGCTGTCAGTGCGTGTGCATTAGAACCCCTTAGACTTCTATGGGGCCAGGAAACTGATCACCATAGACGTCTATAGGCTTGTTCTTTGCACGTGTAGAAAGTAGGACCCAAACCCAGTATTTAGTGATAGTGCTGCTGATCTCCTCTAACCTGCGGCAATCTTTGCAAATCATGGCAATCAGCAATTCCATCACTAATAATTTATTTGCACCTCTCTTTAGTAGATCATGTGGCACCACAATTATGTTGTTCGTGAAGGAAGACTAATTTCCAATATGTGGAAAGATTGCTGCATATTAGAGGTGATCAGCAACATTGTCACGAAATGCTGGGTCTGCTCTGGAGGTAGTGTAGAGTCTTTGGATAATTCAAAATGGTGCCAATACCTGGCGTATGTGCAGTTGCAGCAGGTAGGTAATAACATGTCTCTACTAAACATGCGTAGTAACATCAGCAGCAGATGAATCTGTGTTGCAATGGGACATGACCTAATTTCTGGCCCCATCAGCACACACACCCTCCTACCCCAACTTCTGCTGTGGCTTGCACTTGCACAGTAATCTTAAGCCTGACACCTTTTTAGACTTTTATTGTTTAAGAATATTATGGGGGAGTTATAAATGTAAGGAAATACTTTCAAAGCAGTAGACAGTTTTACCAGTGCAATTTGGGATTTCTCATCACCTTCAGTCCATGTGCAATGGTCATTTGATAGGGGGGGTATTTTAATGGGGAGACTGCAATAAAAAATTGAGGTGGGGGGGGGGAGGGTTAAATTTTTAAAGTGGTTCTAAAAGCTGGACATTTTTTTCCTTAATGCATTCTCTGCGTTAAGGTAAAACATGTCCTATTACTTGTATCGCCCCCTCACCCCCCCTGTATACTTGCCTGAGCCCAATCTTGATTCAGTGCTGTGCTGTCTGCAGCAGCTGTCTCCTCTCTCCCTGCTCACAAAGGCAACAGTGGGAGCCATTTACACCCGGTTGCTGTCAGTCGAATCCTGTGAGCAGAGTGCAGGGGTGGGTCTAAGCCGTCTTGTGTGTGTGTGTGTGTGTGTGTGTGTGTGTGTGTGTCAATAGACGCACAAAACCCAGTATGGGAGAAAGCCCACAGATGCGCCTCCATAGGAGAAACGTCTTTCTATGATGGTGAACCGAGAAGAGGAGGAACCAACTGCACCAGCGGGGGGACCCCAGAAGAGAAAGTTCGGGGCTGATCTGTGCAATACTATTGCACAGAGCAGGTAAGCATAACTTGTTTATTACATGAAAATAGGGTGTGCAGCGCTATATAAATAAAACACACTGTCTAAAGTATGACAAAATGGAAAGATTCCATAAACTGGATGTTAAACAGTCCAAGGTAATATAATATCAGTCCAAAAAGGTATATTCCAGTGATGGAGTATAAATGACTTCAATCCAAATGGGTATATTCCAGCATCCTAACATGAAGGTGTAGAAAAATTGCCCACTCACCGGAAGTGCAATTTAATGTGCACATAGAAATTCCATGAAGCCGGAGGTCCCATGAAGGTATAGCCTGATGATAAAGGTGCCCTCTGGTGGTGGATAGGGTGACGGCTGCCAGAGAAGTTGATCTGGACCAATTTCCCAAATTGTCCTGCCTGGGTGCACTCCTAGAATGCTGGGCTGAGATGTGGAGGCTCAGTGCCAGGTAGTAGAGATGAGAACGCTCATAGTGTAGTATTATAAAAAGTATTTATTGAGTATATATCATTAAGATAAAACGTACAGGGTTGGAGTACCTATACAGGTATAGTGTAAATGAGCTCTTTAAATACACTGACCAGTGAATATAAATGATGGCCACCGGACCTCCTGATCCGGTGGCGTAACGTCAAGGCGTGCAGAGGCTCCTCCTAGACGCGCTTCGTGTAATAACACGTCTCCTGTAGGGGTGATGCCATGCATGCCTGACGTCTCCTTACTGCTATTTATAACCTAAAATTGCGCCAAAAAGTGTCCTGGCGCCGTTCTGCCGTCCGTTTTTTTCGGCCTATTGCGCATGCGCGGGTGCCATTTTGCCGGCTATTTGGCCTCATGCGCATGCGCGGGCGCCATGTTATCAGTGATATTGTGAACATCTAAAAATGGTCGGCGAGCGGTACACTGCACACTGCGCCAATTCCGCTGATTATTGGTCTACCTGGAGGATGTATGGGGTCTTTGTGTACTTTAGGGAGGTAGTAACGACCCAATTTTGGCGAAAGGGACGCATACTAGATAGATGTCTACATGATTCATTTAGTGTTTTTTAACCATGCGATCATAACAATACTTGTTTAAGTCATTATGTCTACATGATTTTTTCAGTATTTTTTTAGTATTTAAATATTTGATTATGGTAATATCCATTCACTATTATTATGTGCTATATATATATATTTTTTTATATGATTTTTGATATGATTTTTTATATGATCCATTGAGTATTATAGCCATATCGATTTAATATATTATTATTATTATTACTAGGGGTATATGGATATATTTTTTAGACAATATGCTAAGTATCTACTGATCATCACCAGGATATAGTCTTTCCATTCACATATCTGTCTATTTATGTGTGGGGAGACTTTATGCCTGCTAATTGCTCGGGTTCATCTCAGATCCCCAATAAAATGGCGACCACCTTTTTAATTAAAGCATAAGCTTCCCCCTTTTTATATGCACATTCCTATATGCATATTTTTTCATACTTTCATATTTTTATATTGGTACACCGTCTAGGGGTTTGTATCCATCACTACAGTGATCCTGTCATTGTCCATTTGCTAGGTGTGATATATACTGGCCATCAGCTCAGTATGATACCACTTAGACTGTTCTTTAGCTTTAGCTGCGATCGTTCGGCTCGCGCATGCGCAGTTGAACGTCGGCAGCAGGCTTTCAAACCAATAAAATGGCCGCCGGAACTCGCGCGCATGCGCAGTGTACCGCGCGCCGACCATTTTTAGATGTTCACAATATCACCGATAACATGGCGCCCGCGCATGCGCATGAGGCCAAATAGCCGGCAAAATGGCACCCGTGCATGCGCAATAGGCCGAAAAAAAAAAAAAACGGCAGAACGGCGCAATTTTAGGTTATAAATAGCAGTAAGGAGACGTCAGGCATGCATGGCATCACCCCTACAGGAGACGTGTTATTACACGAAGCGCGTCTAGGAGGAGCCTCTGCACGCCTTGACGTTACGCCACCGGATCAGGAGGTCCGGTGGCCATCATTTATATTCACTGGTCAGTGTATTTAAAGAGCTCATTTACACTATACCTGTATAGGTACTCTAACCCTGTACGTTTTATCTTAATGATATATACTCAATAAATACTTTTTATAATACTACACTATGAGCGTTCTCATCTCTACTACCTGGCACTGAGCCTCCACATCTCAGCCCAGCATTCTAGGAGTCCACCCAGGCAGGACAATTTGGGAAATTGGTCCAGATCAACTTCTCTGGCAGCCGTCACCCTATCCACCACCAGAGGGCACCTTTATCATCAGGCTATACCTTCATGGGACCTCCGGCTTCATGGAATTTCTATGTGCACATTAAATTGCACTTCCGGTGAGTGGGCAATTTTTCTACACCTTCATGTTAGGATGCTGGAATATACCCATTTGGATTGAAGTCATTTATACTCCATCACTGGAATATACCTTTTTGGACTGATATTATATTACCTTGGACTGTTTAACATCCAGTTTATGGAATGTTTCCATTTTGTCATACTTTAGACAGTGTGTTTTATTTATATAGCGCTGCACACCCTATTTTCATGTCATATTCTTAGAAAGGCTGTGTGGTTCCTTTTTGTGCATCAGCAGCTTTTTATTGGTGCGCTCGCTAAACTCACACATTTATAACTTGTTTATTATTTTAATTAAAAAAAAAAAAAAAAAGCTTTACAAACGCTTTAATCTCTACTTGTGAAAGACCAAGCTTTTAGTATATGGCAAATGCTTGGTGCAGTATGCAGATTAAGTTATTTATGTTCCCTTTGTTTTTTTTAATCTTGTTTTCTCAGGAAAGTGCTTCAGCATTGTGGTAATTATAATGAAGAGAGCATGGACACGTTACTATAAAAGGGAGACAGCAAGTGGCGGTCTCTACCCGTACTTCAGACCTCTCTACAGAAAAGCCCGGTGTCCAGTTTACACCACAGGCAGCCATATGTGGCTTCATTTGCACAGGAAAATATAAAATATTGTTATCCGTGATTTATTATTTTGTTTTTCTTTTTCTTTTCTTTTTCTTTTTTTTTCTTGATTTCACATATATTTGGATGTGATTTCCATGAGAGAACACAGTAGCAACAAAGGAAACAAGAAATGTATGTCTGTTCCAGTGATTACCTTTGGATCTTGTGACTCTTTGGAACCTGCTAAGCCATTGCCATGGCTCTAACAGAACAATATGGCGTCCAAATGTTTGCTTTCCTGTTCTTACTGATGGAGACTGCTGGGAATCTCGAAAGCAGTTGCGTGGAGAAATTCAAATATATGTGCATATTTAAAGTACATTCTTACTAGTAGTTTTCCCCCAGCATTTAATGTGGATTTTTTTTTAATCAGCGTAAAGATTGCCGGCTTTGAGAACTGCGGAAGGAGATCCATGAGTTGCACAAACTAGCTGATCACACTACAGTGCCCTCTGATGGCCAAAAACTGCTTTGCTATGTCTTTTCTAAAGACTGATCCCCTAAAAGTGAGGACATTTTATGAAAAAGCAATGAGTTCATTACATTTTCATAAGTTAAGGAAGATTAAAAATATGTTAATGGAAATCAACTAATGGATGGGTCAACCTGATCATTCAGTTTATTTATTCAGGTGCTAGACAAAAGTTTTTACTTTTGTGAGACAGATGTGGAAAAATCCATATGTAGTGGGTAAACACAAAGTCACCTTAAAGTTTGTATATGTTTTCAGCATTCAGCAGGGACAGAGTTCAACTGGAAACATAAGGCATGATCCTGCAATAATAAAGGACTCGGATGAACAAGATGGATTCCATGATTTCTCACCCACAAAAATAAAAGAAAAGATAATTTTTAGACTGTCACCATAGTTTCCATATAGTTCTTTTTGGTTGGACATTTGCTCGAAGATGATATTGCATAAGCTTGGAATTATGATTTGCATTTGTCCTTTCGGTGTGTGTTTTTTTTTTTTGTTTGTTTTTTTTTTTATTTTATTTTGTGTCTTGTCCTGTTTGTTCTGTAGCCAAGACATCTTTATTGTCTCATATGTATATTAGAAGACTTCAGTTAATTATGTTTTCCTTCCTTATTTTGTAGTGATTGTAAGAGGAGCGCCAACTTAGTATAATTAGCAGAGGAATAAAAGAAATGGACACCCTAATCTTCAAATATAACCTAGGATACGCGAGCTAATACCACAAAGATTTAAAGGTTAAGTCTACACAAAATTGATATTTATTTCAGAGTTAGGTGGACTGGTGCTTTGATTTGATTTTCATAAATTTCTTGATTACAGCAGGGAGGTTTTTATTGGCTGTAGGTCAAGTGAGAAAGCCTTAGCCCATAATGAATTCAGCAATGGAGTGTAGCTTTGCGCAACCTAAAGGGGATTGCTAGGCAGGGGTAAAGCATAGAAAGCAAGGAGGTTGAGATTGCACCTGCAGAACAGTATAAAAATTTGGGTGGCAAATTTGAGCTTCACACATCCAAAAAAATGTCAGTTTTGGATGGATAAAGACCTCTCCACCCTTATCCAGACCTCTACTTTGCTTACTAGATTATTTTAAGGTCATTGTGCCAAACCAACCTGCTTTCATGAATTGTATTTGAATATAAAATGATGACCTTTAGGTTGATTAGTCTTGCAGTGCTTAAGTGGCCCCATCACCTAAACATAGTGGGCAGCAGCCATATTGTGTGCTGGGCCTTTAGATTTGAGAATGCGATCTGTTGGTTGGCTATGAGCAGGTAGGGTCATTAAGGCACATAGCGCCTTTTGAGACAATATGGATTCCTCTCCCCTTTGTTCAGGCAACAGGTGCACTTTATTCCGAATATTAACTTTAAAGCGGAGCTCCACCCAAAAGGGGACGTTCCGCTTTAAGGACTGCTCCCCATTAAGGATTGGCACCTTTGGGGGGCGGGGGGGAGCGGGTATCCGAATTTGACAGGTTCCCGCTCCCATTTCCGGTCCGATCGCATAGGCGATTGGAAACGGAAGGTGTCCTCCCTCCCTCCCTGTAGTCTTTTGGGACACGTGACAGGTCCCAGAAGACTACAGGACCATTCATGAAGCGCAGTGCTATTCGCACATGCACAGTGGGTACCCGGCTGTGAAGCCGCAAGCCGGCCTCCTGGAATACATGATGGCTGGTGAAACGGGCTGCGGGGAACACACCATGGGACCGAGGGACAGATAAGTGGCTGTTTTTTAAAAGTCAGCAACTACAGTTTTTGTAGCTGCTGACTTTTATTTTTTGACAGGGTGAGTGGAACTCTGCTCTAAGATTGTATTGAGCACCAAAAAAAACCCTTCTGCACAACTTTGAAAATTAGATGTTGGAGTATTGTCTTCTGTCCTAAGCAATATAACATTCTTTTATTAGTAACACGTATGTATGTATATTGAGTATTTTTTTTTTTTATTTGGACACCTTATTCTTTCTTGCTTTCGTTCCATTTTTATTTTTAAATTTTTTTGCTTGTTCTCAAGTGTTCCTTAGAGAGTCTACACTTGTGTCTTCCCAATAAGGACTGGCAATAGCAAATCCAGTTAACCAGGGACTTCTGGGAAATGCGTTCACCTCACTTTTGTGCCTGAGGTAGAATCTAATGCCAGGTGGTGGAGTGGAGCCATCACAAATAGCCAGTATCATACAAACTCTCATATGTAGTGGTATATCAGCATCCAAGGTATTGCAAACAGGACATTGACTGCTCCCCAATTCCTTTAGACTCACCTTCAATGTGATAAATCTTCCACAATTCCTTCTCCTTTAGCACCACTCAGTGAGAGCATTCATTAATTGATTCACTGTACCCATCAGACCATCACAAGGACTTTCACTGCCTATATGAATTATTCTCAGCTCATTGGAATGGGTGTTGTATCTGGATTTGCGTCTTCACACAGGAGGCAGGGTGAATGGGCTGTATTAATGGCTCTGTACATCTGTGCATTGTGTTTTGTAAAAGCTTCATCTTATGACCCAAAACAATAAATTCCCATGTACAAGTGAACAGTCCTGTTTTTTTCTACTCATTCATTATTGCGCTAAAATCTGAAAACACATGTAATGGGGAACTGGAAGTAAAGCTTATAACCATCACTCCTTTTTTTTTTTTTCCTGCATCAAAAAGTGACACCTAAAATTTGGGCAGAACAGGTTTTTTTTTTATTTTAAAGATCATTCCAAATATCTAAACTACACTGCTCAAAAAAAATTAAAGGGACACTTTTTAATCAGAGTATAGCATCAAGTCAATTAAACTCCTGGGATATTGAGCTGGTCAGTTAAGTAGCAGAGGGGGTTGTTTCAGTTTCAGATGCTTTGGTGCTAATGAAATTAACAGGTGTACTAGATGGGCAACAATGAGATGACCCCCAAAACAGGAATAGTTTTTCAGGTGGAGGCCACTGTCATCTTTTTTCCATTCTCATCTTTTCTGACTGTTTTTCACTAGTTTTGTATTTGGCTAGGGTCAGTGTCACTACTGGTATCATGAGGCGATACCTGGACCCTACAGAGGTTGCATAGGCAGTCCAACTCCTCCAAGATGGCACATCAATACGAGACAAGCAGTTACTCTAGGAGAGCTGGACAGGGCTGTAGAAGATCATTAAACCATTAGCAGGACCAGAATCTGCTCCTTTGTGCAAGGAGGAACAGGATGAGCATTGCCAGAGCCTCCAGCAGGCCACTGGCGTGAATGTCTCTGACCACACAATCAGAAACAGACTTCATGGGTGGTCTGAGGGCCTGATGTCCTTCAGTGGGCCCTGTGCTCACTGCCTGGCACCATAGAGTCCTATTGGCATTATCCATTGACCACCAGATTTAGCAGGTCCGCCACTGGTGCCCTGTGCTTTTCACAGATGAGAGCAGGTTCACCCTGAGCACATGTGACAGACGTATAAGGGTCTGGAGAAGCCGTGGAGAATGTTATGCTGCCTGTAACTTCGTTCAGCATGACTGTTTTGGTGGTGGGTCAGTGATGGTCTGGGGAGGCATATCCATGGAGGGATGCGCAGACCTCTACAGGATAGACAATGGCACCCTGACTGCCATTAGGTATTGCAATGAAATCCTCGGACCTATTGTCAGACCCTATGCTGGTGCAGTGGGTCCTGGGTTCCTCCTTGTGCACGACAATGTGCAGCCTCATGTGGCGAGAGTATGCAGGCAGTTCCTGGAGGATGAAGGAATTGCTACCATTGAATGGCCCCCATGCTCGCCTGACCTATACCCAATAGAACACCTCTGGGAGATCATGTTTCGGTCCATCCGAGGCCGCCAGGTCGCACCTCAGACTGTCCAGGAGCTCAGTGATGTCCTGGTCCAGATCTGGGATCAGGAAATACCACAGGACACCATCTGTCGTCTCATTAGGATCATGTCCCGACGTTGTCAGGTATGCATACAAGCATTTGGGGGCCATACAAACTGCTGAATATCATTTTGAGTTGCTGCAATGAAATTTCAGCAAAATGGACTAGCCTGCTGCATCATTTTTTCACTTTGATTTCCGGGGTGTCTTTGAATTCAGTCCTCTGTAGGTTGTTAATTTTCATCAAACAATGAATCATCCTTACTTTCCCAACACATTACCCAGTCCATATCAGTATAGATATCCGGCTTGATATCTTTCCCCATTGTGACCTGATGTGCTTTCAAAGTGTTCCTTAAATTTTTTAAGCAGTGTAAATGGCTATAAGCTTTTTTTTTCTTTTTTTTTAATGGCACCCTCGGTCAGGCACGATCATTAGTACGGATCCAGGGTTCTCGGTGGGACCCTGGTCTGTGTGTTGAGTGCGTCTTATGGCACGCTCCCAGCACAAAGACAGTTAAGTAAATATGCAGCTCCATGAAAAAAAAACCCAGT